CACGTGTTGAGCAGAAGAGGTCGGCTGGACGTGGCCTGCGGTTGGAATTTTACAGGGCTTGGTTCTCTGGGCCTCAGTCACCATGTCTATGTTGGCGGAACCAAGGCGGAAAACACAACAGTGTTTTATTAATCCAAGAGGTGACGCCTGGTCGAAAGGTAAATGTTATATTATGGAATAGTGATGACTAAACTAAGGTAAACAAACTGTGTATGTGTTGGTGAGTTCTTGAGTGACTCTTTTCTACCAGTCTGTAATGACAAGTCTAGAGTGAAATTTGGATGTTTTGATAAGACTTGTATTTACTCTTAATCACTTTCATGCATTTACCCATACTGGGCGGGCATGTTTGCACCTAATTCTGAGTTTGGAACCTTGCCTTGCTCGTCCAGACAACTTGTCGGGACCAGCAGGACAACGAGGCCACGTTCGAGGCGAGAGTAAGGGTTCTGAATAGTCAAAACATGTCCTTCTTGTTCAACTTGTTGGACGAGGATTTCCTAATCCAGCATAATGCTGAGTTCAGAACTCCTTGTTTTGCTTGTCAACTTGTCAGGACCAGCAGCACGAGGCAGTGTTTGTAACTCTTCATTACCCACAATGAAACCACTTTGAGGTTAATGTTACTGAGAGTAATGCACAGAGATAGAGGGATTGCCATATCATAGAGCACAAGAAATAGAGTAATGAACAACACAGGTATGGTTTCTCTGGCCTCATATTTACCACAAGATGATGTAAATATCTGCCTCTTATCACCAATCAGAGATTAACCCATTGCCGATGGGCATGCCATGCCCACTGTGAGATTATTTGTTTGATTGTTTTTACACATAAATGGCTACACTTGTACTAAATCACCAATGAGCCAGTTACGAGTACTGCCTGTCTCGCCTGTTTACCCTTTTCTTTGATTTACAAAATATTTTACGTTATCTTATTTTGCTGTTACTAATGTTAACCCCTTGGTGCCGGGTGACGCCGATCGGCGTGTAAACAAAGAGCTCGAAAGCTGGCGTGCAGCCAAACGAGTCGGCGGCAAGCCAGTGATTCGGGCTGATGTCCCCTACTCACGCGCTCAAAGTCAGCGGGCCGCCTTTGTTTGTTTAATTTTTTTTTTGTTTTGTACACCCGGCGCCATTGGGTTAACCCATTGCCACCGGGGAAAATGAACAAAAAATGGGGAAAATGCTGTGCCTATTTTCTATATTTTTTGTGAAATGTCTGCCTATAGATGGCTCTGTTAGTGCTTGATTTGAAATGGGGGAAAAACATATTTTTCACTAGTTCCATGAATATCGATGGTGTTATTTTTATTATAAACATTATAATTATCATAATGTTTATAATATTATTAACAGCAAAATAACATAACGTAAAATATTTCGTAAATCAAAGAAAAGGGTGAACGGGCCAGACAGGCGGTACTCGTAACTGGCTCATTGGTGATTTAGTACAAGTGTAGCCATCTATGTTTGTAAACAATCAAACAAGTGATCTCACAGTGGGCATGGCATGGCATGCCCATCAGCAATGGGTTTAAAAACATTATAATAATTATAATGTTTATAATGAAAATAACACCATCGATATTCATGGCACTTGTGAAAATTACGTTTTTCCCGCCATTTCAAATCAGGCACTAACAGAGCCATCTATGGGCAGACATTTCACACAAAAAAATATAGAAAATAGGCACAGCATTTTCCTCATTTTTTATTCATTTTCCCCGGCGGCATTGGGTTAAGTCCACAACACCTTCACACAGCCAGAGTTCTCAATGTCTGTTTTATGTAAGTTGACACAAATAAAGGGAGGAACAGGGGGGCTTTCCCCCCTGTCTAGGGAATAAATAGAAGGTTGGAAAGGTCAGGCTTGGATTTGTGGTTCGTATGATACTTAGTTTTGGGACTTCGTCTCTGGAGGGTGCATTGCTCTTGGTTACAAATACCCAGCTCATAAGTAAACATTCACATTTTTATCATGACAGAATCTGTTTTATATCTTGCATAGGTTTTATAATTGATGCATAGGTAACTTACCAGCAACAGATAAACACAAAAATAAAGGGTAAAAAAATTACCTACCAATATCTTATGGTTGCCTGCAACTGTGTTTACATACAAATGCTATTGTGACATCATCGTTTTCTGCTTGCCCAGCTGCATAGGAAGGCGAGAGGGTTGAGATAAATAACTTGTCTCAAATGCCAAAGTAGGGGTTCCAAATGGTCAAAACATCTTGTCCAACCTGTCCAACTTTTATGTGGTGCTCCAAATGCAGTATAATGGTAATGTGGCAAAAAGATCAACAAACATCTCCACATTTATTTATTTATTATTTATTTATTATTATTTTATTTATTTTATTTATTTATTTATTTATTTTTTCAAAGTCATCCAGCCATGATTGGTTCAAGTAATAAGTGAAAGTATTGGTAATGAAGTGACTGCAGCCAGCAACTTTAGGGACACTCCTAGAAATCCATAAATTTCCCCATATAAACCGAAATCCTTCCTAAATTGTGGGCTTTGTCCCCAGGCCTTACCCAATCACTGTATATCCTTACTGGGGAGAAAGTCTTGAACCCTCACCTGATTGCCTTGGACTTAGTCTGTACACAGTATTTGTTGCAAAATATTTCAGAAGTTATTCTTTGCTTGTGCAGATTGTTTCATGCATCAGTGAGTGTAATTTTGTCTCTTTTTCTGATAGTGTCATGAGATATTTTCTCTATCTTAGTACTATTATTATGGAAATGTATACCTAGCTATTAACTACATGTTGTATAATTTTCTTGTTATAAATTTGCAAAAGAATATGTCATAGGTAAAAGTTTTGTCATTCTGTCCATTACAGGAAAAGTTTACTTTGTGCCCTTTGGCTGACATTATATATTTTATCAGGAGAGAGACAAAATTGGGTTCATTTTGGGTATGTCATCATGGTATAGATCATTTGAGCATTAGAAGTGACATGTGAAGACCAGAAAATGATATGAAACCATCCATGTTTATTACTAGGTTAGAAGCAATATATTGTATGTTTTGCCACATCTTTCTTTTACTTTTAGTCTTACTATTTTCAGTGCCTTCATTATTGCACAAAACCTTGAAAATAAACATGAAACCATTTATGTCCCTCAAGTTTGATTGATTTGATTTGAACCTGATTTTTTCTAATCATATCAAACTATATGAGAATCTCTGAATCATTTTAGTGAAATTCATGTCATATGCATGAAATTAACCTATACATAATGTTTCTTAATAGGAGAAATTATTTCTTTATGTTAATAAAAACTTTTAAATCATTACAGATGAAAACAAGTTTGGCCAGAAGTTAATGGAAAAATTTGGATGGTCTAAAGGGAAAGGCCTTGGAAGAGAAGAACAGGGAATGACTGACTGCATCAAGGTTATAACAAAGGACAATAAGAAAGGTATGGACTTGCTTTATAAACTCTAAATACTTTAGCACAAGTTATTCTTCATTTCAGTTGTCATGTGAATTCTAAGGCATTTTTCTTCTGTGACATTGTTGCCAATTAGAAAGAAGACTAGTGATAGATTTATTTATTACTTTATGGATAAGATAATTTTATTTTCAATTTGTAACAGCTGTCATAGAAGAGAAATATCATAAAATTCACTCTTGTATCAATGCCTAGTATTACCTTCTACCATATGTAAATTATATCCATAAGAAATTGCACCATTAAGTGATTACTCATTTTGTGTATTTGAACTTTTTGCTGTAAGTTATACCTTTTTATATTTGATGTAGTAAAATACCTAATCCTTTACCGGATTCAAACATGCAAATCTATTTTCTCTTGTTTTCTGATCTCGATTACATGTATGCAAATAATGCTCCCTTAGTTCATGTCTTTTGTATAGGTCCAGTTTGGTATTGTTGAGTATAAATGAAAAGAAGAAGTGTAAACTAATGTTGTAAGATCTGATTAAAGAGAAAGGTATTTTGATAAAGAAGACTAAAGATAGGTGAAATCCTAAGACCTGTTCTATTGACAACAAAATGATATAGCTTTGTCCTCTCAGACATGAGCATATAAATACTTTTTTTTTTTTTAGGAATCTTAAATTACAACTCCTCTCTGTCTAGGTATCGGATTCAAAGGCTCTGACGACGAGTGGATCAAGCACTATGAAGGATTTGAAAGTGTTTTAGCCAACCTCAACAGTGATAACTCCAAGGAGAACTCTGCCTCCAACAGCGCTGCTAACAGTGACGACGAGAAAAAGAATAGCTCGTCCTTAGAGAGGCGGTCAAAGGGGTCCCGAGCCAGAGTTCAGTAAGGATCTTCTTGATTTTAAGAGGGAATTGGGGTTTGAATGTGAGCAGCTTGTTGAAATATCTACTTGATTCTTTTTCCATTTGTCTATGTGTCTCTAATTGAAAGTAATTGCGCTTTTTTGTGTGTGTGTGTGGGAGGGGGAGTGTACATATATATATATTTATGTATGTATATATGTATAAGTACATGGATTATTTGCCACAGATATTGTTTTCTCTGTAAATGACAGGTAATAGAAATTGAGAATTGATTGGTTAATAATTCCTTAAATGTACAGCCATCCAGCTACAGTGTTAGCTTAATTATCTCCCTTTTCCCAGCTACCACAAATTCACGCGTGGCAAAGATGTGAGCCGTTACAATTCCGATGACATTGCGTGCATCATCGGGTCAAAGAGATCCAAGCAACTTGCTGATATTGAGGCAACTCAGATTAAGGAAGAGGATGAGGTTGGTCAGCAAGTCAAGCTGAATGGTGTTACTACAGTTAAAGGTGGTACTGTTCAGGTGAGTTAGAACAGCTGCACAACTGTCTTTCTTCTTTAGTTTCTCTCTCCCTCTTTACTTTTTTTAGATTCTTCATTTTCCCTACTTTTCATTTCCTCATACAGTTTGTAAGTGTTTTGTTTAGTTGTGATAAGCTTTGTACTTTTATGTAACTCAGAAGATGCTTGGTGCATATCTTTTCCACTACGTTTAGTGCATCTTGAAGATCATGATCGAAACAACATAATGTCAACAGAATTTAGGATCATTCTAAAAGCTTAGTCATCAAAGATGTTTTGACTCATGGGTACAAGAAGTTGCAAACATTATATTCGTACAGACATTTTGCTTGGCTCTCCATTTGCTAACTTGTCTATCATTTCTAATTTTTTTATGTATTTCTTTGCTGTTGTTATAACTGATCTGGTAGTTGATCTGGAACGTACTGAAAAGAGTGGATAGGGTCTGATTTCTCCATGCCTTGAATTGGCAGGAAAATGTGTTTTTCTCTCTAATACAGTTGATATCCGATACTATTATTATTATTAAGTTATGATTATTGAATTGTTATTAAAATCTTGATAACATTTAAGACAATGAAATAGTGCAAAAGACTTTCCAAAAATCAAGGAAAAAGGTTAACAGGTGAGATATGTAGGACTAATAACCGACTCTTTGGTGACTAAGCACTTATAGAGCCGCCTATTTGTAAATACTATAAATAAACTTGTATTACAGTAGGCATGTCATGTATTCTTGCCACACAGGACGATTGGGATAACATCTTTGGATGGATGTTACTTTTCTGAATTTATTTAATATCATGAAACTTTAGAGTACTGCCATTAGACAGATATTTCTTAAATTCACTCTTTCTTTCAATCTTTTCTTCAACAGCAATAAACTAAGGCTTTTAAAAACACCTTTGTCTGAGCTCATTCTCTCTCCATTTCAGGAATACTTTGCTGAGAAAATGGCAAAACTCAAGATGGCACAGGCACTTCGACAAGAAAGAGAAAATGAGGATAACAGTGAAGAGAGAAGTGAATGTGAAATTGGAGCTCAGAATGGAAGACAAGGTTTTGGCTATCCAGAAAATGGAGATGAGTGCACTGGGGATCAGGCAGAAAAGAAGAAGAAAAAGAAGAAGAAGAAGGACAAGGCCAAGGAGAAAGAAGTAGAAGGAGAAGAAGAAAGTGTGTCTGACACTGAAAGTTCAGTCTCAAAAACAAAGAAGAGGATGAGAGAAGTGGAGGAAGACTTAGAGGTTGAAACACAAGGTGAAGTGGATGTGATTGTTAAGAAGAAGAAAAAGAAGAAGAAGAAAAGCAACAAGGAAAAGGAGGAGGAAGCTGAAGATGATATAGTTGCTGAGAATTTAACCAATGAGAACTGTCATGAGGAAGAGGCTGAGAAACTTGATGTTGACGTGGATAATGAAAAGGAGAAAAAGACGAAAGACAAGAAAAAGAAGGTAAATTTGGATGTAATGAAAGCAGAGGAATTGCCAACTGAGAACGACTGCAACGCAGAACCTGATAACATGCAGGCTGAAATTGGTGTTAACAGTGAAAAGAAGAAGAAACACAAAAAGAAGAAAAATAAAGATAAAAATACAGAGGAGTTACCCACAGAAAATAGTTGTGAAAGAGAATCTGAAAATGTGGAAGTTCAGAAGACAGATGAGGAACGAGAAAATGAACAGGAAATAAATGGAGTGGAAGATGCTGGAAATGAAACTGAAAAACCAAAGAAGAAAAAGAAGAGGAAGTTAGATGAAACTGATGGAAATAATGAGGAAAGTGGAGTTACTGAACCACAATCCAGTGAAAAGAAAAAGAAGAAGAAGAAGAAGAAAAGCTTATGCCAAGAAGAAATTCAAGAAGAAAATTGTAGTGAACCTTCAGTTGAAATTCCCAAAGCCATGCCTCAAGACTGCTCAGATGTGGGAGAGGCAAAAATTGGAGAAGAAAATTTGCAAGAGGAGGAATCTGCACCAAAAAGGAAGAAGGGAAAGAAGAAGAAACAAAAGAGAAATGCAGACAAAGATGAGAACTCTCCTTCAGAACAGGGTGAGGCTCTGAGTGCAGAGGAAAAGGGACATTCAAGCACAGCAGGAGAAGGCAAAAAGGAGGGAGCAGAGAGTGAAGAGACAAATAATTCTGAAGACAAATCAGATGGCAAGAAAAGATGACTAGAGCTGGACTTTGTAGACCTTGCTGTCTCTGATGCAGTTACAAAAGACCCAGCATCGTTTGCAGAAGAGATTAAAAGAAAAAAAGAAAATGTGCAGAAAATAATAAAGAAGATGAATGCCACAGAAAGGAAATTCAAGCAGACTCGGATTGAAAAGGAAGGAGCATCAAAAGAAAGAGATAGCAAGGTCTCAGGTAGCAGCGAGATGCAAAAGCAAATCAAAACTGGCCAGACAAAAAATAACGACACCGGGGATAACGAGCTAAGTAAGCAAACCGCTCCTGGGAACAGTGGGCCAGATAATCAAGCGAGTCGCCAAAATCAGATGCAGAATACCACGAACACCGGGCCAAATAACCAGATGTGTGTGTGTGCCTCTCTCAGAAATCTGATGCCTAATATGTGGAACATTTTTGGACCAAATAACCAAATGTTTTTCAACAATCTGATGCAGAATATGTTGAACATTGGGCCAAATAATCAAATGTTTCCAAGAAATC